GTCGAATCGTACGGTGTCGAATAATCTGGTGTCGAATAAATCTGTGTCGAATCGAGCGGTGTCGAATCGTACTGTGGTCAATAGAGTATCACCCTATATTATCCTGTTCATCCACGTCAAGACGCTTATCACCGAGCATCGTTGTCGAAATACACATCATATACGTAGTCTATGTCGTTCTCTTTTTTACCACTCAGGATAGCTTTTATGTATTGTTGCGCCGACGGACCAAAATGATTTTGAAACATTTTAAGACCCTCCAACGTTTGCATTTGACGTTGAATAGTTGACTCAAACGATTTGTTGGTAGTAGCATCAGTAGCGACGATAGTGTCAATCGATGGAGAATCCCATGTCAATTGTCGTTCTTTCGTCGGAGTAGAAGTCGCCATTAAAGTGTTATATCGTGTGCGCTTTGAATTGCGTAAAGTAGGGGACAGTGTTTCGTTCGATGTCTGTGTTTGTTTCCGCTTCGTCTCGTGTGATGTGTCTTCGAAAAACAATATGTCCAACATCTTTTGTTTAGTTTCCGTATTTTCAGCAATCTGTTTCAGAGGTTCGATAATAGGTTTAAACTGTCTTTCTAATGCAATTTATTCTTCTAATTTAACAGTTTTAGAGCGTGATATTTTTGACAAATGGATTGACTCGTTTTTGCAATCTCCTTTGCTACTTTCTCGCGATCTGTAATTTCACTGCTTGCGTCAGCCAAGTTGCGTACACCGGTAAGAAAGAGACGATACTCGGTTGATGTCTCAACAACGATTAACCACTCGCTGGTATCGCGAACTCGTTAAATCCTTTTTTATAGCGACCTCTGTTCAAAGGACTCTTTGTCAATCATTAAAAATCCATATTTGTTTTACCAACATTTGCACCATAATGTACAAAACTTCTCGAACGACATATCCGTGTTTACATGATCGTTGTACACAAGTTTGAGATTAGTACCATCTTGTTTAAACAGAATTATCAGTTTTGCGTTGTCACGTATAAAATGCTTTGGTATCCTCGCGTACGTCTGACAAAGATAAAAACAGGCGACACTTGAGTGACGACCCATTGCAAAATATTGTCGTATCGTATCCTGCTTGTCACATGCCACATCATCAAAAATAAAAATAGAATTTGGAAGTGCTTCACTCAATGCAATCACATTGCTATTATTAGAAAAGGTAAAATAATCGATTTCATCTACTGATGAAAGTACATTCTCCAGATATTGATACTTTGGTTGTTGCAACGACTTGAATACACGTACACGTTTTCACAACGTACACCGTGTGGACTTTCTGGCAAGCTTAACACTACATTCGTCTTGCTGCAGTTCGAAGGACCGCACACAATACCGCGTATAGTAACCGGTAGCAATATTCCATGTTTGCGTATTTTTTTGCCGGACATTTGGTGAGTTTTGTTGGCAAAATTAATTACATTAATTGCTACAGGTTGTCGCACGAACTGCATGGTTTGTTTTAACTGCCTCGCGCGAGGAACACCTATTTACGCGTCGAGCGTGTCTACTCAGTCGTCAGTAGATAGCTGATGTCAAACGTATATTGCAATTTATGTCAGGTCGTGGATTGTTAAATCGCGTGATAAACGCTTTTCCTGTCGAATTACATATTCCGGGCTACCATGTTTGTGGCCCGGGAACGCGTTTGGAAAAACGATTAGCTAGAGGCGATCGCGGCATTAATCCATTGGACGGGACTTGTCGTGAACACAATATAGCTTATTCGCAAAGCAACGAACTCGCTGCTAGACACGAAGCTGATAACGCGCTTGCTGCGAAGGCGCGCGATCGTATTACAGCGGCAGACTCGAGTCTCGGTGAGAGAGCAGCTGCAACCGCCGTGTGGGCGGCTATTAAAACAAAGACAAAACTCGGCATGGGCTTGAAAAAGAAAAGCAAGTCAGCAAAAAAGAAGCGCATACTTCCAATTGCTAAACGCGGCGGTGTGTTACCGGTCCTACCGTTGCTGGGTGCTCTCGGTGCGCTTGTTGGTGGAGCAGCGGGAGTTGCAAAAACGGTAAATGATACGANAGCTGCACAGCGGCAGCTAGAAGAAATGCAATGTCATAATCGCGCGATGGAAGATCGGGGAATTTATCTGACTCCGTACGGACGGGGACTTTCAAAGAAAAAAAAACGCTGAAAAGACATTAAAATTACCTACAGGTGTAACAACAAATATGCAGTTAGAAAAACTAGCTAAGCGCATGCGCATACCTTTCTTTAGAGGTGTTTTCATGCGTAATACTTTACCTAACATAGTACGTCGTAATGAGAGTGGTATTGTCAATTTAGATGATACAAATGGACCGGGTACTCANTGGGTAGCGTATGCGAAGAGAGAAAAACATGTCATATATTTTGATAGTTTCATACAAACTTCAACCACCAAAAGTAATGGTGCGTTATCTAGAACATGCCGTAGACAAAATAGAATATAACCGTACATTGTATCAGCGTTACAATCAAAACAATTGTGGCCAATTGTGTTTATGGTTTCTTCAAGCGGTCGATGAGCAATATTCATTTAAATAGTACACTATCAGACTTTATTACGCATTCGACAACATGTCACTGACGTTCACACTTACCGGCAAAAGTAGCACACTTGCAGTCAGCTACTTTCCCGCCATTGACTTAAGTGACGGTGATTACGAGCTTGGACTAACAGATTTTGAAACATATCATACGATACCGAACGTAAATTCATCGAACAATAAGTTTTATTACGATATGGATAACAAGCAGAGTATATTTCCTGAAGGGTCGTACGAATTACAGGATATTAACAATTATCTGCAACACGCAATAGTGCAACGTCATGCGAAAAACAAAGATAAGGATGAGAACATCCCTCCACTAATATTACGCGCAAACACAATGAAAAGTGAAATAAACAGCGCTTATCAAATAAATTCTACCAAACCCGACAACATTGGATCGT